AAGTGGCTAAGCGTTCCTGCTAGATAAGGTGGGCTCCTTGTGGTCTGAAATTTGATCCTCTTTACCGTGAGGAAAGAGAATGACTGTGACCCCAGATCCTCTGACAGCCGCAGGCCTTCTGAGTGACAGACTTACTTGCTGGCTGTCTCTGTGGGGGACACGCCCAGCCCATCACCACAGCCATGAAGCAGAGGCTACTGGCTCAGTGTGCCATCCGTTGCCAGGCCTCCTGAATGAGCACTGCTGTCCCCCAACAGGCATTCCCCAGCCCTGTTCACTGAGAGCCCAGTGGCCATGGTGAGGGATACAGGAGGGTCCCTGTGTTAGAACCATAAAAAAGAGCAACACTGGGGTTGGAGGCTCAGATCAGTTGGTAGAATGCCAGCCAATTACTCAAGTGTCAGGTACCAAGCTCAAGACCCAATCTTGCCACAAAAAGGAAAGAAAGAGAAGGAAGAATGAGAAAGAAAAGAGCAACATACCCCAGTGAGGAGACCGAGTGTTCTGAAACCTGAGAAGAGCTGTCTGTGTCTGCATTTATCAAGACAAAGAAGGGAAATAGCTGGAGGTCACCAGTGGACTGTCCAGTAGATCACCAACCTTAGAACAAAGCCAGATGTGCAGATGCATCCCATTTGTCATCAGTCACCGGGGTGTACACTAATAACAGATGCACATTGCTGCACTTCATAGTTTAAAAAAAAAACCTGAGGAGTCTGAAACCCACACGTCTGACAACTTCATGGCTATATTTTAGGTCCCTATCCAGCTTCTGGAGCTCCCTGGTGATTACCACCAGCATCTTGGGCTGAGAAAGGTGATAAGGCATTACTGGGACTCTAGAGCAGATGAAGGTGCAGGAAGGGTGCTGGGGTAGGACTCCAGTCACACAGCCCTCCATATATAACCACATATAACCTCGCTGTGTGGGGCAGTAGGTGGAAGGGGTCGGGGAAGGAGGGAGGAAAGGAAGGGAGGGAAAGGAAGGAGGAAGAGAGGAAGGAAGGAAGCAAGCAAGCAGCATTTGAAACTATGAGAAGCCAATAACTTGGGAGAAGAAAACATACTAGCAAAAGGTCAATAGCCTTCATATTTATAAAGAGCTCTTACAAATCACTAAGATGAGCACTCAATAGAAAAACAGACTGCAGACATGAACAGGCAATTCCAAAGGAGAAATACAATGGGCCAATACACTTAAGAGAAATGTTCAGCCTCACCAGTAATCAAATAAAATGCAAATGACAACAACAAAGAGACGTTATCTTTTGCCTACCTAATTGGCAGAGATTAAACACATGATAAACACCTCACTGATGGTGAGGGTGTGGAAAAAACAGGTCCTGTCATTCACTAAGGGGGAGTGTGAGTTGGTGCAGCCTTTCCAGAGGGCAATTTGGCAGCATGCGAAGCTCCGAAGATTGGACACTCTTTGACGTTGTGATTCCACTTTGAAGAAGATTGCCTTAGGAAATAATTGTGGATCATAATAATAATAATAATAAGAGCTAACCTTTATTAAATACTCTCTGGGTGCCAGGCTTCACATGCATCATCTCATATAATCCTTGCAGCCCTCATCCCACCAGGCGGGAGCTATTATTTATCATCTGTATTTCACAGATGCATCAGTGAAGGCACAAAAGAATGAAGTGCATGGCATGATGATAATCAAACTAGCAAGTTGCAAAATGTGAATTTGAACATGTGCAGTCTGCGTCCAGAGTCGGACTACCCATACTACAGTGGTCCCCTAGGATTGTTTGTAACAGCAGCCAGAGTGAATGCTTCCTAACGCAATCAGTTACATAAATCATGATACTCCTACACAGGAATATTATGCAAGTATGAAAAAAGATCCTTTGGAAAAATATGTGCCTGAGTGCCAGAAGATCTCTGAAAGGATAGTAAAGAAGCTGATTTTTTTTAAATCCTGTTGTCTTCTAGAATGCAACAGAATGGCTGTGCCCAAAAATTAGAGAGAAGCTGGGCATGCTGGCTCATACTCATAAGCCTAACTCAGGGAGTTGATATCTGAAGGATCACAGTTCTGAGACCCCCTTCTCAACTGATAGCTGGGCACAATGGCATATGCCTCTCATCTCAGCCACTCCGGAGGGGTGTAGTTCCAGGCCAGCTTGGGCAAAAATCATTTACAAGTCTCCATCTCAACAGAAGTTCAGACATAGCAACACGCCTCTATCATCCCACGTACCACAGACACCAGCCCTGGAAAAAAAGCAAGATTTTTATCTCAGAAATAATTCATACATAAAAGGGCTAGAAGAGTGGCTCAGACATAGACCACTTGCCTAGAAGTGCTAAACCACCAATGTGGAGATATTACCTATTAACATATATATATATATATATATATGAAATGCATACATATGAAATGCATTTATATATATGTATATGTTATGTTATAAAATTTCTTCCATATAGCACCTGAAATGCTATTAAACATTCTAAAAAAATTCTTAGAGTCTTTACTTAGAGATTCATTTATCTAGGTATCTTCATAATGTAGATTCTTCATTAATAGTGTTCATCTACGTGTTCTTCAAACCAATTTCCTCAGGAAACCCTTTACATTGCTAATACCTATGTTCATGTCTTGAGATTCTCATGTCTTACAGAATTCAGTTTGGAAAATTGTGGTATTAATATTTAACACGAAGATGAAAGAAACATATTATTGGTTCCCATTTCAGTTTTTGTTGTTGTTGTTTTCTGGTCCTGGGGGTGGAACTCAAAGCCTAAGCACTGTCCCTAAGTTCCTTTTGCTACCACTTGGGTCACAGCACCACTTCTGGCTTTTTCTGACTATTTTATTGAAAATAAGAGTCTTATGGACTTTCTTGCTAGTATTGGCTTTAAACTGTGATCATCAGATTTCAGCCTCCTGAGTAGCTGGGATTACAGACATGAGCCACCAGCACCCAGCTATATTTTAAAAATGGTGTGTGTGTGTGTGTGTGTGTGTGTGTGTGTGTGTGTGTGTGTGATTTCTGACTACTGACATAATGCATGATTTTGTTTACTTCTTTCTACTCATTTATATTTTTTTGTAATTTTCTAAACTACACGAAGTTATTTCATATAAAACCGTAACTTTTTAAATAAGACTTTCTTGTGATGCTCCCTCTGTTCCTGGCACTTCCCTTCCCCTCCTCCCTACTTGCAAGCAACTGTCAGGGTATAAAGTGGATCCCTCTGTCTCTAGCCAGACCCTGAATGGCCTTCAGAGCCATTTCTAGCTCACTGCCAGTCTTTGGGCTACCAAAAGAAGGACCAATGGCTTAGACAGGATCCAGAGCCCCTAGCTCCTCCTTGGCCCAGCAGACCCTGCCTTCTGCTACTGGAAGATGTATACAGGGGCTCCAGCATTCAGAGAGAGGTGTGGTTGTAAAAGCAGTCCTCAGGATGCAGTCGGACACTCTGCAAATCCAGACATCTGGGCTTTGGTCCCAGCCCTGCGGCTGCCTGGTTAAATGGCTTCAGTCAAGTTTCTGAACACTGAGGCTCATTTTTGCAGTCAATGTGAGCGTGACACTTGCCTCACAGAGTTCAAGGACCAAAAGAGAGTGTGGATGAAAGCATTATGTGACCTATAAAGGGCAGTACTAGGGTCAACTGTGTGTACCTCAGCAGCTCACCCTGACTTGCCGTCATCTTCCTCACAGCAGCGGATCTCTTCCTTTTCCTTTTTTTTTTAATTGGTGGAGAGAAGAGTGAGGAGTTGGAACACAAGGTGTGTTGGAGCCTGGGTAATGGAATCAGAATAGTGCTTACAAAAATATATACATAGAAAATGAGGCAGGCATCCGTGGCTCATGCCTGTAATCCTAGCTCGGAGGGCTGAGATCTAAGGAAGGAAAGTTTGTTAGTCTCTTGTTGCCAATTAAATCACAGAAAAAGCCAGAAGTGGCACTGTGGCTCAAGTGGTAGAGTGCTAGCCTTAAGCAAAAATAGCTCGGGAACAGTGCCCAGGCCCAGAGTTCTAGCCCGAGGACTAGAAAAAAATGGGGAAAGCCTCTTAGCTTGAGACTCACAGCTTTGTGCCATGCTAGGCTCACCCATTGGGCAACTTGGTGCTCTGGACCATATGTGATTTTCCTAAACTGCTACCTGGCACATCTCCTACCCCTTCTAGCCCCATCCTTTAGCTCTGAGCTGAGTGACCCTAGGTCTAAGGTGGCTCCTTTGGGTTCCCAAATTGCCAGGCATCCATGAGCTGTGCTATGATGGTAATTCATGGTTACAGCTCTCCAGCTGGGCTGCACTTTCTGGGAGTGGTAGCTCAGTCCACCATGTTGGGCCTCCCATTTCCTCTGCATCCAGCACAGGCCTAGGAACTTGGGACAAGAATTAAGTCCGGAATATTGAGGTCATGAGCAAGAACTTGAACTCCAGTTTCATCACTTCCCCTTAGGAAAGAAGCTTCACCTTCTGAGCTTTAATCTCTCCATGGATAAAATGGATTTATACACCTCAGTGAATTTACCAGGTTATTGTGAAGGTTTTAGAAGTTAATGTAACCAGGAGCCAGTGGTTTATGCCTGTGGTCCTAGCTACTAAGAGAATGAGAGCTGAGGATCACAGCTCAGGCCGGAAAGTCCATGAGATTCTTATCTCAAAAAATATGAAGGTAGAGGTGTGGCCCAAGGAGTAAAGCACTAGCCTTGAGCAAAAAGCCCATGAGGCATTGCTCAGGCCCTGAGTTCAAACCCTATTACTGGCACATGCACGCACGCGCGCGCGCGCACACACACATACACATTCACAAGTTATTATAAAGCTCCAAGTACCATTCCAGGTACAAAAAAAAAATAAGCAGTGCATTGATCTTGCTGCAGATTCTATAAATGCTGGTTGTATTAAACAAAGAAAAGTCACCAGGAGTGTGACTCCTGGGCCTACCAGAGACCCTGTTGTTCATGTTTGCTCCATGCTACCTGCACCGCTGCCATACTCATCCACTTGCCTTGTACCCACAGCCACTCGGCCCAAGCTGAAGAAGATGAAGAGCCAGACAGGACAGGTGGGTGAGAAACAATCGCTGAAGTGTGAGGCAGCAGCAGGGAACCCCCAGCCTTCTTACCGTTGGTTCAAGGATGGCAAGGAACTGAATCGAAGCCGCGACATTCGAATCAAGTATGGCAATGGCAGGTGAGTGATGTCCTCCATCTCACCCAGAGCCCTCTCTTTGGAAGAGAGGCCTGAGCTGGCAGCGCACAGGGCTGTGCCCCAGAATCAATGTGGAACTGGCTCCACACTTCTCCACCCTCCCCTTCCTTGCCACGCCAACCCCATCCTGGCTGCCTGGCTTCCACTGGTTATGTGAGCTCCAGGCATTGAGGACCATAGACAAGAATTAAGCAATTCACATCTTCAAACGGTTGGAGGCAATTGATTGTCAAGCTCTGCTTTACCAATCGAAGTCCTTGCTTGTCCCTAAAACTTTCCCTCAAAAAGACCTAATTTGGTAGCTAGAAGCCCCTCCAACTGCCAATTTTGGCAAAAGGCACAGCCTCCAGAACGCCTTTGGAGTTGACACTTGACAGAGCACGCGAAAGGGACAGGGAACATAGGCTTGATTGGTGTTAGGGGAGTCAGTACCTCGGACAGTTTCCTCCGATGACTTGAGAATTGTGTGTAAGTGTATGTATGGAAGGGGGACCCTTATCAGACCCTAGGCACTATCCCTTAGCTCAAGGCTGTCTTTGCCCTACCACTTGAGCCACAGCTCCACTTCTGGCTTTTTGATGGTTAATTGAAGAATCTCATGGTCTGGTTTTGAGCCTCTGAGATCCTTAGACCTCCATCTCCTAAGTAGCTAGGATTACAAGTGTGAACCACCAGTGCCCATCTTGAGTATATCCTTTCACCATGAACCTGTGCTCCTAGGTAGTGACCCTTAAGTCTCCAGGCTGGGACAATGGCCACATGTCCATCTTGGTTTGGTCAGGCAGGGGCTTCAGGCACCAGGGAAGCCAGGAGTTCAAGAGCAGCCCCTGTGCCCCCCCCACCTCTCTCTGCCTGCTAAGCAGATATTCTACCTGCCCTTGCTCTGTCAACCCTTGGGCCTAAGTGGCACCCCTCTCTGAGTAAGTGCACCCTGACTTTTCTGCCCCCCATCCCCTAGGGTAACTTGCAACCACACCTTCTAGTATGTCATTTTTTTCTCTTCATCCCCCCAAAATGCAAATGAAGGCACTTTTAGAGGATTTCCAGTCTGCCTCACAACAGAAAGTGATGGAAAGAGAGCCAACACAGGCCTCCCCTGCTGGCTGTATGTCTGATATGCACGCCCTGCCTCTGCACCTTACTACGTGGAAGAAGGTGTGGAGGTCAGAGACTAGCTCTGATTCTCTTAGCCTCTGACTTTGGGGAAAAAAGACAGAACTAAGCCCCTCTGTATGCAGCAAAAGCAGAAAATAATTTAGGGAGGGTTTGGTCTCGATGAAAGGTTTGTAGCTGTCAGAAGGTAGAGAGTGGGGGGAGAGTCCCGTGTGTTCCCATTCTATAACACTGGCAGAAAATTCAGGCTGCCCACCTGGCTCACAGGAGGCCACCTTCCTGCTGCCCCTTGAAGACCTGCTCCAGGCTAAGGAGGGGTGATGGGTTATTGGAGCTGGAGCTCACGGGGCTCTTGTTCTCTGTCTTAGAAAATGACCTCTCCACTACTTCCAAAACCAAGAAGCCAGGAGAGAAATTTACCCTTGCTGTCCAAATATTCCCAAGCAACCTACACACACCCTCCCATCCCCACCACACTCACCTCCCACTTCCTGGCACACATATATACATCCCTCTCCTAGAGCCCTGGCACCCCCCCCCCAACTCCATCATTTGGCTGCTAACTTAAGCCTGTTCATCTCAGCAAACTCATTCTTTTTTTTTTCTTTAACTTTCTGGTAGCGCTGGAGTTTGAACTCCAGATCTCCACATTTTGCTAGGCAGATACTCCACTATTGAGCCACCAAGTCCAGCCCCTGGCAACATTGCTCTTGCCACTTTTATCCAGAACACTTTCCTTCTTGGCTGATTTAATGACTTTGTCACCTTAGGTCCAGATGTATGCTACCAGCTGAGTGCCAGTCACCAGTCCAGAGACAAGCTTTTGGGATTCAAAATGCCCCAAGCCAAACTCCTGACATTGCCTCTCCCTACTATCTCCCTCCTCTTGTCCCCAGCCTCCCTGCTCCCAGCACCTGTCCCTGACCCCAAAAGGAGTGGCACTACCCTCCCCATGCCATCTCTTCAGGTAACACCATAGCTCTGGCAGAACGCACCGTTCTTGCTCTGCGTGTTTCTTCCTTGACCTCCCCCCTCCACTGTCCCACTCTTGGCCATCTTTCTAGGAATCAGCTTCTTTTGTGAATTCATAGCTCTATCTACCCTTTACATATTGAGTATCAACTATGTTCCAGAGGCTGGGACACATCCGTGAACAAAACAACTGTGACAAGTACCTTCCCAAGTCTCTAGGTCAGCTTCCAGTACGGAATCTGGTGACATTCTGACTGTTTCTTCAGAAAAGTGGCCTTTTACACCCAGTTTTTATAATTCTGGAGGTCCACTGACCCCCAGAAGTACCTGCAGAGGCTGATTTCCTTCTCTGTGGTACAGGGGATTGAACCTAGGACTTCTTGCTTGAGCCCTGGCCTCAGCTCTTCCATTATTTTTAGCCTCACCAGAGCCATAGGGTCTCACAAGTTAAGATTTTCAAATTCACTTGAAGATCTCAACTGTTCTCAGCTAGCCTCTCACTTGAATTCCTTTTGCCTCTGCCTCTGCTTCTGCCGCGAGGGTAGCTGGATTGTAGGCATATGCCATCACTCCTGGATTGCTTGGTTGTCTGTTTATATTTCAGTACTGGGCATTGAACCCAGGGCCCCACACATACTAGTGAAGTCTCTACTATTCGGGCTATGCCTGTAGCCTGGGATGATTTCTAACATGGACACATGTGATCATTCATTCCTTACCTGACTGATCTACAAAACCTACCTGGCACAACCTTTTGGGCTCATCCAACTCTTCTTGGGATATAGATCAGTGCCCTGCTGTTCCCTAACCCTGCTGCTTGCCTGACCCCTCATCTTCCTCTTCATGACCTTGGACTTGAGCCCAAGCTGTTCCCTACCCTGGGTAGCTTATCCCATTTGTCTCTGGCAAAACCTTCCAAGGCTTGGGTGAACACCAGGCCAAGCCCTCTAGACCACTCTTGCCCCTCCAATAATAAGTTAGACATAGCTTTATGGTACTGTTAGTAGATCTATTACTCCTAAGAGCTTCAAAAGTTACTCTCTTCTCCCATCCACCCTCTTCTCCCCTGAAGGCCTAGCAGAGAAGAGAGCCACTGCCAGTATGGAATTGATAAAAAATTTTGCAGGGCTAGCCCTCATGTCCTGGGTACAAGGTTACAGAGAGGCTAGGCAGGAGGCCCTATACATTGTCCAGACTTCTGAACAACGTACTTTCTGCTTAAGCTTCAGTTTCACCTGACCAATAAGTAGCCCAGTCCAGACAAAGGACATGGGTGGTGAGTCTTAGTCTGAAATGAGTCTCTGGTACCTACCTACCTACCAATCAGAGCCCTGCTTGCAGAGATCTCCTTGTCCTTCCTATCCTGCCCCTAGGTTCCAGCAGTAACTTGCTAGTGGTGGAGGAATGGGCCATGGTGAGGATGTCTATATGGTAAGAACATACTCTCTGAGCACTGGGGCCCGGGCCAGAAGCTTCTTTTCTGGCCAACCCTTCTCTGACCTCCCTGCCTACCATGCAGCATGCGCCATGGCCCCCTTCATGCTCTGTCTGCCCAAGTTGCCCTTGGTCTTGGACTCTCTGTTGGCCTGCAGAGTCACACACACACACACACACACACACACACACACACACACACACACCCCTGAAGGGTGCTAGCGGTCACATGCCCACCACACTGTAGGTTTGTTTTTTTTGTTTGTTTGCTTTGTTGGTTGGATAGTTGGTTGAATTCTGGGCCTGGGCACTGTCCCCCAGTTCTTCAGCTCAAGGCTAGTTCTCTACCACTTGAGCCACAGCGTCACTTCCAACACACTGTGGTTTCTTACTCAGGACTTCCTGTGCCAGGAGTAAACTGCTACCCCCAGAGCCCTGGGCACAAGCCCTCCCCTGAAGAACCGTATGTTCCCTTATTTATGAGGGGCAGGCTAGGACAGGCCCCTCAGGAGACAGATCAGGGAGGAAACTGTGTGGCCGCCTAGATCCCGTTGCTGCAAGCAGAGAAGCAGCTGGAGAAGGTGGGGACAGCACCCTTCACAGGGCAGAGCTGGGTCACCCAGTGATGGGGTACCAGGAGCCCAGCATCATGCCCGCTGGGAAGTTACAAAAGAGGCTCAGATCACTAGGGATTCCAGCTGGAGCTAGAAAAAGTGGGACAGTAACTTTGAGAATGGAGAAACCTACTGGGCCCTTCCTCAGCTACACCCCAGAGCCTTGATGTCTCTGAACTTACCTCAGTTAGATCCATAAGACCTTTGTCAAGCTGAGCACTGCTATCACACCTGTAATCCTAGCTATTCAGGAGGCTAAAATCTAAAACTCACAGTTTGAGGCCAGGCTGTGCAGGAAAAATCTATGAGAATATTATCTCTAATCAATCAACAACAAGCCAGAAATGGATCTGTGGCTCAAGTTGTAGAGCACTAGCTTTAAGTGAAACACATACACACACACACACACACACACACACACACACACACACACTGGCCAACTCTTGCACTTGGCAGGGACTTTATCACTTCTTTTTATTCCTCCATGAAGGGGTACTCCCTTAGAGGCCCAGGTCTAGAAGACCTTCATATAGGAGCCCTTCCTTCAAATTCCAGCTTTGCCTTTCTGATATTCTGTATGCCTTACTCAGACTTGTCCTGTTGCGTATGATAACTTTGAATGTAGCTGTAACTGAAAGGAGAGTCTGGCTCTATGTCTCTCTCTCTCTCTCTCTCTCTCTCTCACACACACACACACACACACACACACACACACACACACACACACGAGCCCTGTGACCCTCGGGTGATTTCCTGCCCTGTTCACACAGTGCACAGAGAAGCTGGCTTTGTGGCATCTAATTAGGCTACAGCAGGGAAGGAGATGCTGTCTCCGTCAGAGGGGCCTCCAGGGCTCTGCTTAATGAAGGGAACAAACTTTAATTGACAGAGGAGAGTTGTGGGAAGGCACCAGGCCAAGGAGAGAGACCAGCTTGAGCCAGAAAGGGTATGGAATAGTCAAGCAGCTGTCATATTAGTGAGGACATCACAAAAGCAAGATGATCTATGGACACAATAATTACAACTCTTCTTTTAGGGAGGGGTTGGGGTGAAGGGGTCGGGGCAGAGGCCAGTCCAAGAGAGAGGTTCATAAAGCATAAAGCCACCAGTAGGGATGGTGGTCTAGTTTGCATTTCCTCAATCCTGGTCCAACCTCTTCCTTCACCACCCCTGTCCTCCTTATGCCAACAGCCCCTTGGGACTCAGGACCCTGACAATTCTGCTAAAAATCACCCCTTCTCCCACTGTGCCTAGTCAGGAAACTGGTTTTTAAACTCCTTACTGAAAAGAGAAATCTTACAACATGAAAAGACATTTCCATGCTTCTTCCCCAGTAAATGCCAGGCCAGATCCTGGGCTTCATATAAGGCTCTTGCTGATTGTAGAGAACACTGGGCAGAGGGAAGGTTGGAGTGACAAACAACCCTTTGCAGAGTCTAGGCACCTGAGGTAAGTGCGTGGAAGCTATGAAAAGGAAGGAATAGTCTGTCCAGGACTTCAGAAAGAAGAAAGGAAGCAGGGCCAGGTGCCCTACAGTCACAGCACTTGGGGGATTCTGTCCTGCCCAGGCCTGATCTACAACTCTCAACCTGTAGGGACTAGATGAAGAAGAAGCTAGCCCCAGCTTCAAATCCCCAAGGACAGCCCATGTCCTCACCGACTACAACTAAGTGTCCTTGGGCAAGCCAGGAACCCTGCAGGAACTCAATTTTCCCATTTGGAAAAAGAGAGAACCCATATTGGCCCTGAGGATCCAATCAGGATCTTTTTATGCACACCTCCTGCTCCTCACACAGAAGGTACTCAGGAAACATCTGTTGAATGAATAAAACCCCTTGGAGAGGTCACAGAGTGCCCCCTTGGTAGCAGAGCTGAGGGGAGAGCCACAAGTTGCTACCTGAACCTGATAGAACAATGGCTGTCCCAAGTACTTGGATGTTTGTGCCGTTCTTTGCTCTTATAACAGAGTACATGAACCGGGTTATTTATAAATAATGGGAGTGCATGAGTTCTCCGTCTGTAGAGAGTGGGAAGTTCGAGATCAAGGAGCGACATCTGGTTTGGACCTTTTGCTGCATTGCTGCATCATAGCATGGAAGAAGGCATCACATAATAAGAGAGTAAGAGAGCAGGAGGGGGAGCTAGAAGGGGTGTGCATATGCATGCACACTTGCATGAAAGAGAGTGAAGGGGGGGGTTCAGAACAACAAACCCAATAATGACTCTAGTGATAACATTAATCCATTCATGGAATTGGAACTGTCATGACCAAAACATCTTGCATATAGAGCCCACCCCCCCCCAACACTATTTCAGTGGAGATCAATGAGCTTTGGGAGACACATTCAAACCATAACACCGAATATAGGTTATTTCCAGAGTAATAAGCCACAACCTCTAAGGAAAGCAGAGACAGCTGGAATGAAGGATGTGGACACGTGACTTCTTAAGGGACCTGCTATTCCTTCCTTAGAAAAATGTGAGAAAGAAAGCTCAGCCCTAGGAAAGGAGAGATGTGAACATTCATAGATTTAGAACATGTGTGCAGCCATCGGCCCCACCCTGTGCTAGCCTAAAGACCTAAGTCTCCCTCCAGCTCCACAGCTCACCATATTCTACCTGAACCCCAGCAAAGAGAATCTCTTTCCCATCCCACCTGCACAGCCATTTGGCTCTGTGGGGAGAGGTGAGTGGCTGATTAGCGCTGAGTAGCCACGTGGTCCTGGCTCATGCCTCTCCCACTCTCTCCCCTCCCTAACCAGAAAGAACTCACGGCTACAGTTCAACAAGGTGAAAGTGGAAGACGCTGGGGAGTATGTGTGCGAGGCTGAGAACATTCTGGGGAAGGACACTGTCCGAGGCCGGCTCCATGTCAACAGCGGTAGGTGGCCCCTTAAGGAAGGGATTGGTCCTGGGGGGGGGGGGATTGGGGGGGCAGGGTGGACCGGTTACCCCAGCCCCATGGAGAGAGGCCGGCACATGATCCATCTTGCAGTCAACTCTCCTCCCTCCTGCGGCTGCCATATCAGGCCCCAGATCTCAGCCAATTCAGAGAAATGCAGTCGAAGCATAAATGTTTAGCTTTGTTATCTGGGCCTGGAAGAGCCGCCAGCTCTCATTTTAAATACCCTGAAAACTAAATATTTTGAAATCAAGAGGTGGGGGTGGAGGGAAGGATATTTTTAGAAGGCAATTATGGAAGGCTGGGCCGCCAGGAGCAGGGCTGGGGGAGAGACAGGCCTGGGGCGGGTGAGAGCTGTCTGCTGCATTGCAGGGCACCTGAGCACCGGCCTGTGGCACGGACAGGGTTGGGGTGAAGGGTGGGAGCTGGGGCAGCCCCTGCTTAGGGATATCAGACTTCCCCACTGGTCCTCCTCCCTTGAAGACTTGTACACTAAGACTAGCAACATCCTTTCGCCTCTCTTCTGTGCCAAAGCTGCCCGTCCCCAGGCAGTATCCCTTCACTCATCCCCGTACCCTACATATACCTCCGATCCTTCTCCTCCCAGCACCCACAGATGGAACACACCATTTACCGAGGTACCCAGATTCACTTTCAGTCCTGCCCCCATCAGAATCTAATCCTATGTCTGTCATCACCTGCCTGGATTTCCACCCGACAGCCTGGCCATACTCCCAAAGCCAACACTATCTAAAAGAGAACATTCCTGCCCCGTGACCCTCGGCTGAACAGTCAGCCCAGACCCTGCTGCTCTTGAACTGGCAAGGGACCATCTCCACAGCTCTCTGGGCTCCTTGGGCTACCTTGCCATTATGTCAGTCTGGGCCTTGATGTTCTGGTTAGTCTTTCTGGATTTTTCTCACACTTATCCCTTCCATTCCAACTCCATCTCAAGGGTATCCCTGGCTCAGGTTTCAACCCTACTCACTCACATATCTAAGGAATGGCCTTTGAAAGCACATTCATCTGGCCAAGCCTACACCATTAGTCCAGGCATGCCCATGCTGTGGAGCCACAGGACGAGGACTTGGTTCTCACCACTGTGGCCCAAACTGCATTTGCTCCCCTTGTTACCCCATCCTTATTCTTCCTCTCTCTCTCACTACTCAGCGCATCACAATGCCACTCACCTCCTACCCTCGTCTGGGGCCACTCCTTGGCCTACCATAGTCTGGTGGCATCGCTTGACTTCCAGCCTTAGATTATTTTCAACTTCATGCTGTTGCGGAACTTTCTCTGTGGGTCTGACCAATCCAGTAGATAGTAAGCCTCAAAAGTGGGGGGCACAGAGCCAATGCCTCTCCCTGGGAGTTGTGACCCTAGCTATTATTTGTTGTGCCAGACTCTGCATAAGCTCATGAATACCTATCCAGAATCAGAATGTATTTTATAAGTTATAAGAGGCTCAGAGAGATGATGAGCCTATTGCTCACGCCTATAATCCTAGCTCCAAGCCCTTGTTACTACCTGCTCTTCCTGGGCATGATACGGAAGGCATATCTGGATCTTTCTACCTGCTGCAAGGCTGAAAAAGTGAGATGATCCTGGGATCTAGCACCTGCCACCTTTGTCCTGGTTGGCAGATGCTCTCTGATCCATCATGGATCTGGAGATCCTTTTATATTAGTCAAGAAATGACAAGAACACAAAACTTACAAGTCCAGAGGTCAGAGTGGCACTAGTCATGACAATTCAATAACGAGAGCATAGATCAGGGCAATTTTCCCCACTGTGTGCTGGACTGGTTCTTTTCTCCCATGAAGCAGCTTCTCCCATTTGGGAGACCAGGGGCAAAGGAGAAGAAGTTATGGCTTAGACAGCTCCAGGGTCATGTCACCCCAGCCTGCTACTTCTACTCCGTAACCATCCATCTAGTCATAAGGATAGAAACTGAGGATCCTGCTAAGGTTATGTACCCACCTGCCCCTGTAAGTGCTTAGAAGGGTGGAGTGCCATCTTTGCCAGCTTGTCTGTAAGTAGAGGAGCTCCTGCAAGACAGAGATCCCTAAGCCATGACCTACTGGAACTACATGGAGAAACATTCCTACAGGAGCCTATTAGTAGGGGAAGATGGTTGCCACCCAGAAAGCCAAACTGTTCCCTTTCTGCCATACAGAGCTTAGGACCACAGGCCCATGGGATAAGCTTCAGTCCCATCCCATACACAGCTCACTCAGGCAGCAGCAAGCCAGGTTCTGATCAGCTTAGGAGCCAGACAGGAGAACTTTTGGCTGGAATCCTAGCTACCCATAGGGCTCCTTGCCTCTTGCTTCTGCAGCCCGACAGGAGAGTAGCTGACAAGCTAGTGGAAAGATTTCAGTGATATAGTCTAGGCTCCACTGTAGGTCATGCAATTCCACCTCATTCCATCTCCCTGACCTTCAGTATTCCCCTCATAGGCTGAGCTATGATCTTAGGCCCCTTTCCCTAAAATTCTGGGATTCTGAGTTCAATGTTGAGGCTACATCCTGTATGCCTCACCAACACACACATATATATGTATACACACACACACACACACACACACACACACCACGAGTCTATGACTCTTCTGTGTCCTCTTAAGCCCATGGCAGGCAAGAACCTACTTCTGATGTGAGAAATGGACCAAAAAGGAGACAGGAAATCAGAAAGCCCCTCCTGGTGATATTTTCCCAGGCTGAGATGCCTGAGTTCCTTGTTTACCTTCAGAAACCAGGAGACCTGCAGCAACCACACCCTGAGGAGGGGGCGGAGGGCGGGCAGCGGGCATCTGGGCCTACCCCCTCTGACTCATCCCTAGGTGGGTTGGTATGGCCCGCCCAGGCCTCAGGGGAGCCAGGGCCATGGGAGAGGGGGGAGGGTCAAGGAGCAGCCAGCTGCTCTAGTGGTATCACCCAGCTCTCCAGTAGCTCCCACTGAATTTGAGGGGTGTCTGGTCCTCCACATCAGAGCAGGCCTTCCTGGCTGTCATCACACTGCAGCTCACAAGAAGCCTCCAGTCTCCCTGCCTTGCCTAGAAGGAGGAGCCCAAAAGTTTGTGGAGCTTGTAATAAAACAGTTGGCTTAGTCTGACCCACTTCTGCATTAGCAAAATCAGTGGCGTGGCTGAGGTGGCTGGCCACACAGGGATATCCCAAGCACCAGGCAGAGGACAGGCAGGTTTGCCCTGAAATGTCACAGGACCTTAGAAGTCCCAGAGAGTCCTCCAAGCCTGTCCCCTAGTCAGGGATTTAAAAGGCCACCTGGGTGAACATAATCTGCATTCACATGGGCGCACACATGAATTCACACACACACACCGCAAACCTTTTTCAGTGTGACCCTGCTCTGAGCCCTGGGGAGTCAGAGTCTTGCCCCCTCCCCAGCAAAGTCCCACAAATAGAATTTTGAAAATAACTGCCTCTCCTAATAGACAGAAGCAGGAAGGCACACATACCAAAGGCAAAAGGGATTCTGCCCAGGAGACAGAGCCGTAAGGAAGCAGGAAACTGAGGATCTAGGCCTTGAAAAAAGTAGAGGTTTTTGCCCGTGGGCAAGAGAGAAAAATCAACTACAGCAGTAGGCAGCTCAGCTGTGCAGCACCTGCTCAGAGCCCATCTTGCTCCATTCCTACTCACCAAGGCCCTGATCAATTAACATTTGTAATTAAGTTCAGATATAATTTACATACCATAGGATTCACCATTTGAACATATGCGTCAGTGGATTTTAGTTTAGTCATTAAGTTTTGTGATCACCACTAATCCCAGAACATTTTCATCCCCTCAAAAAGAAGCCCCACATGAATTAGCAGTCCCTCCCGTTACCCCTTCTCTCCAGCCCCTAATAACAACTAATCTTTCTCCTCCTGGGAATTTACTTATAGTAGAAATTCTATATAAAAACAGTCATGCAGTATGTGGCTGGATTCTTTTACTTAACATGTTTTTAAGGCTTATCCATTTGTAGCAGGTATCTTCTATAGCAGGAGCTCCTGCATCTCCTGCTACAAGCATCCATCATTCCTTCTGATGGCAAAATAATATTCCCTCAAATGAATGTACCATATATTACTTAATCATTTCTCAGTTTGGGTTAGTGGGCCATTTGTTGCTCCATTTTGGCTATTATGAATAATGCTGCTGTGAACATTTATATAGAAGTTTTTTTGTTTTTTTTTTGGTTTTTTTTTTTGGGTCCGGTCATGGGGCCTGAACTTTGGGCCTGGGCGCTGTCCCTCAGCTCTTCAGCTCAAGGCTAGCGCTCTACCACTTGAGCCACAGCGCCACTTCCGGCTTTTTTCTTTTTGCTTATGTGGTGCTGAGGAATAGAACCCAGGGCCTCTGGCATGCAAGGCATGCGCTCTACCACTGAGCCACCTTCCCAGCCCCTATATAGAAGTTTTGTATGCACATCGCTTCTCAATCTCTTGGAGATGTAACTAGGAGTAGAAATATGGTAGTTCTATGTTTCTATTATTTTTAAAATCAGTTCATTTTTTGTTTATATGGTACCAAGGAATTGAACCCAGAGTTTCATGAATGCTAGACAAGCACTCTACCACACAGCCATATTCTCAACCCATGTTTATTTTTTCAAGAACCACCTGGGTATTTTCCAATGTAGCTGCACCATTTTATAGTCCCACCAGCAATGTACAAGCCCTCTGATTTCTTCACACTCTCACCAACAGTTATTAGTATCCTTTTAGTGTTATTATTATTATTATTTAGCCATTCTAGCAGATGTAAAGTATTATCTCATTGTGAGTTTCTTTTCAGGTTCCTAACACTCTAACAAGAATACTTACATAAAATAGGAGACAATGTTTTACCCTATAGAAGAGATATCACCATCAGCCAAAGTCACCAGACTAGTCCTGGGATGGCAGCAGAAGACACTTTTTCCCTGAAGAACCAAATATTTATTTGCTCAGGCAACCATTTTCCAGGCCTTCTGCTAAGACTTTGGAGTTCAGTGAGACATGACAGATGTGGCCCACTAAGGGGACTTACTTCTAGCAGGGAGCTATTATAACACATGTAGTCATTTTAGGTTAGAATACGCATGACAAGCACGGTATGTAGGTGAAGAGCAGGCATAAGGGAGGGGTGTGATCCACTGGAGCAGCTGGAGGAGGCTGCTGTAAGGCATTGTTATTTGGAATATACTATGCAAGACTCTAGGCTTCCGGAGAAGCCGAGCTGACTGTAACATACTGCAAGGGAGGAGAGGAGAGAATGAGGGAAGGTGAGGAGACCTGGAGAGGAGTTGGGAAGCCAAGGGAGAGCACTTTGCTCTAGGAAAGAACTGACCTAATTCACATATCTAAAGACTTCTCTAGCAGCTGTCAATCCAAAAGGTCAGAGTAGAAACACAAGTCAGCACAGGAAGACTTTAAGGAGGCTTCTATCATCACCCAAGGAAGAGACCACCATGACCTGGACCAGGAGAGGAAGTAGATGTGGCTGAAGTCTCTTAGGGTACCAGTAGCAACCCTTGGAGATAGATGACAATGGAATTGAGGAGAAACAAGCGATGCCCTCTGGGACTTTGGCAGGTTCCATGTGGCCACTGGCATAGGAAAGACTGGAGAAGACAATGGTTAGGGTAGATGACTTGGAGCCATGTTTTGGACATGTTGGGTTTGGAGTAGCTATGAGCCCTATGAATGGAAAGTTCAAAGGCATAGTCAGACCCTGCACTTAGGATCTGTGCCACCCTGCTTCTCCAAACACAGGGAACATAGTGAAGAAATACAGACCTGCTGACAAGGAGGTGTAGACAGATTGTTTTTGGACCCACATGCATGATATCATGGTGTGAACACCCCTCTGCCTGTGCAAATTTCCCTGCAGATCTGGGCTGGAAGGATATAGAAGGCTGGCCTTTCTGAGCCCCTGGCCTCATTCTCATGCTGCTGTGGTATTAGCAGCCCAGACTCACTGTACTACAGCCAAAGGGAAGGAGAGTCTTCAGTCTCTCTCTTTCTTCACTTGTCCCCTGCCTCCTCCTCCCCGCCCTGCCCACCCTGCCTCGGTGAGCACACATACGTGTGGCAAGCCCAAATGTGCCACTATGGTCTCAACCATGCCAGCCTCCTCACTGATGTGCACTGCTTAACCAACGTGGGTAGAATCCCAATATGGGCACCACAGCGGGTAGCCTCTTCCACCATGATTGTAAAGGGAGCCACAAAGGTCCAGGCTGAGATTTCTCTGGGTTGGCCCAGGCCCACAGGAGGTCCCAGGCTGTGGTCCACATGCTGTTGGCATTCATCTGCTCATGTCAAGCCTTGGTGCTGCTGACGTGTTCTTTCTCAAGAGATTGGGTAGCTGACAAGAATGCACAACTAGGAGTCAGGAGACCTTGTCACAACACATAGTGACTCTGGACAGGCCTTCACACTTCTCTTTGCTCTCTCCTCCTTCCCAGGGGAAGTAAAGGGCAAGACAACCTCTAGGATCTAGCCAGAGACTTCATAACTTGCAGGCATATATATAACTTTGTCCCTTTCTTGGTTTCCTGGGTCTCACTGACCCAGAAAGGGGTGGGGTGGGGGTGCAGAGACCAGCAGCAAGCAGCCTCCTCTCCCAGGCCAGCATGTGGGTCCCAGCTGGGTTTGTGGTGGAGGCTTGGAGGAGCCTCCTGCTTGGAGACATGGGGGCGGGGCTCCAGATGCCAACTCAGCAGCAGGCATGGGGTGCAGAGGAGGCTGGGAACTGGCCCTGCCCACGAGGGTTTTATCAGTGAGCTCCTCAGACATATACAGAGGCAGAGCTGTGTGTACACTCCCAGTCTCCCACGCTCCATCCGTCTCCCTACATGTCTAAACACTGAGGGCACCGAGTGCCTACTCTGTTCCTTCCTTCTCCTCCCACCTCCTCCCCATTACTGAAGGGAGAGTAGATAGATACTCATTTTCCTAAGGAGATAGGCTCCACCAAAGTGAGATGGGCCGCATCTGTCTGAAGGCCACCCTCAGAGCCCCTGGGAGTTAGGAGGTGGGGAGAAGGCAGGGATTCCTTTTTGAAGGCCCAGTCTGGATACACAGCAAAGGGCATCCTCTTATGGATGAAAACTGACCTTCTGGGTAAGAATCTTCCCTCCACATCAGCTATCTGGATGCTGCCCCCTGATGGGGGAGCAAGGCTTTTCATTTGTTTGGTTTTTCAAATGAGTCTGATCAATAAGCTATGTAGTCTTGAGTTAGCTGCCCAAGCACCTAGGCTTAGACTCTCTCTCACTCTGTTTCATATCCCAGCTGCCCCCTTCTCTGAGCTTGTCCCCAGTCCTGTTTCTTTCCCACCAACTGGAAACCCATGATTTATAGCTTGTGCTGTCCCAGGCTAGAGACAATAGCCGATAAGATTGGGAAGGTGGAGGCTACCTGGCATGAGGGGACATTAGAAGAGATCCTGCAAAGCCTGGTGACTTTGATAGCATTCCAGCCCAACCCTGGAGTAAAGGGAGGAGAGCAGAAACTAGTGTTCCCTAACATCTTTGAGATATTAGAAAATCACAGTATGTTAAAGGTACTACCCCTCTGAAGTCCTCGTTCCCTTCCAGCTACACACACACACACACACACACAAGTCCACCATGAGAACTCAAAATACAGATGGATGCAGGTGCTCCTCTCTGCCTAACTTCCCACACTAAACATCAGCATCTGGCCTACCTGCTATGAACCCCCAGCAAGGCAGGAGGGACCAGGCAGAGGTAACTCTGATTCTAGTCACTTCCAGTAAAGCAGAATTTTAGAGGTGTGCCAAGGCTTTTAGAGGTTTGCCAAGAGTGTAGGTCCAGGCTAATAATAATAATGGGCAGATGGTCAGAGCTGCTAGTGGCTGTTCATTTCCCTGTGGTCAACCAAGAGGGACCCACAGACCTTCCCTCCCCAGGCAAGTCCTGCAGGATCTGAGATCTTCCAGCTTTGAGATGAACATGAAGGGTCATGGAAGATGTGATTCCTGGGGCCCAGAGGTGGTCTCAGTGGGTCACTAGCACGTGTCTCTCGTACCTCCAGTGAGCACCACCCTGTCATCCTGGTCCGGGCACGCCCGGAAGTGCAACGAGACAGCCAAGTCCTATTGTGTCAATGGAGGCGTGTGCTACTACATCGAGGGTATCAACCAGCTGTCCTGCAAGTAAGTGACCACTGGGGGCGGGCACAGGGCCAAGAGCAGGGGAGGAGAAGCTGGGGCAGGTGTGGAGGGCTCTAGGAAGAACAGGCTTCAAGCCACTGGGAAGGGGCCCCAAAGGGGTAGACAGGGAAGTTTGCCCACTTCCTAGACCTTTCTGAAATAGAAGATAAAAGCTCTAAGGGGCAAAGAGATTCCTCCAGTCCCAGTTTCCTAGACCCCTACCACTTTGTCTTCTGATGTCTACCTCTTACCAACACCCCTTAGGGATATGGAATGCCAATCTAGGCATTGGGCTAGTTCTCTCTCTCTCTCTCTCTCTCTCTTTCTCTTTCTCTCTCTGTCTCTCTCCCTGTCTCTCTCTCTCACTGTATCTCTCTGTCCATCTGTCTGTCTGTCTGTCTATCTGTCTGTCTGTCTGCCTGTCTCTCTCTCTCTCTTTCTCACTCTCTCTCTCTCCTCTTCTCTTCCTCCTCCTCCTTCCCCATCTCTCAGCAACTCTCCATATTTGTTCTGGAAGAACATGTCCCCAGCAGTGAGGGGCCTGGCAAGCTCAGGTAGGGCACAGGCTCCAGAGCCCTTGGCAACTGAGGCTCCCACTCCTGAAGTTTGGAGGGTACAGGAAGTGTCTGCCCAGAACCTAGTGCTCACCTCAGATCTTGTTGTTCTTCCTGCCGTGAAGGCTCCCAATGTCCAAGAATGGTCTGGGTGCTGCCTATGCCCCTGTAAACCTAGTCCCTCTCTCTGGGGTATGGGGACCCCCTAAGGGCACCATTCTGGGTGTGGCCCATTGGAGGAGTCAAGGTAGCCCCAGCAGGAACTCCAAGGAGCTCAGAAGCACCAGCTCCCTCTAGCAAATAGGGAAGGTGGGAGTAAGTTAGGTCAGGAGGATGTATTAAGACCCAGACCAATCTGTTGAGCCCCCAGAGTCTTCTGGGCAGATTTTCTGGTGAGTGTGTGGGGATGGTGATGGGAGCTTGGCAAAGGAGTACAGGCTCTGTCTAGATCTTAGGGAGGAATGAAAAAGGGGCCTAGGGCCCTGGCAAGGTGCCAAAGATGTCCCATTCCCATGGCATCTGGTCAAAGGCCAGCCCAGTATTCATGGTGATTCAGAGAAAGGGAGATGACTTCCACCTAGACAAAGCAGACTCATACTTCTGGCTCTCCTGCCTCTGGCCTGTCAGACCACATCTGTACCCCCATCCCTGGCTCCAGCCTTTTCTAGAAACATAGGCCTGGCAAGGAAGCCAGCACTTTTAAAGTCCCCTCCACCTAGTGAGGAGGCCACAAAGCTGGTGACCCAATGTAAGGTAGCTTGACTGCACTGCCAGGCAAGGGCTGTGGCTCTGGCCCCGGCTGGCCTCCTTGCTGGCTTCCTCCCTAGTCACACCCTTCACCTGCTGTCACCCCTTCCCACTCTCTTCCCCTCCTAAACCTCAGGGAACAGTCCCAAAAGCAACATCCTGTCCTCCAGGGAAGTTTTGGGTCCGCCCTCCATTCTCATTCTTCCCACTTTCTGCATCTACCAGGCAGCCACATCAGTGTTACAGCCTTGAAATGCTCTGAGCTCTTTGGAACAGACTCAGGAGGGTCCTAGAATTCCTCATAGGGATGGCCCGACCCCACTCCCCCTTTCCTTGTCCTTCACAACAGGCCCTTCCTCTTCCCTGGCCTTCATAAAGATTCAGCATTGTCTTTGAAATCAGCCCTGGCTCCGGGCAGGGAAGGTTTGGTTCCCAGGACGGGATGAGGAGGAGTCCTCCAGTGTCAGGTCCACTGTGGCAAAGGGAGGGATGAGCTATATGGGCCTCCAAAGGAACCTGCCAACATGGCTGCATTCCTTGAGCTTGGGAGCCTGCCCTGCTGAAGCAGAGGACAGAGGGAGGAGCCTGAGCCCTTATGAACATGGTGGGTTCCCTCTCTCCCCTCCCCACCAGAGCAACTGGGCTTTCCTGTTTAGAATGTGACTAGGTACCCCCTCCCCATCTTTGCCCCTTGGATCAGCCCCCAGTCAGGGCTCCTGGAACCCACATCCCTAACTCCCTCTGTCAGCCTGCAGGGGAGAAGGTCAACCCTGGCGGGACTGCGGTCCTTGACGCTGTGCTGGAGAAGGGCAGGGGGGAGGGAGGCCGGGCAGAGCCCAGCGGCCATTCTGGGGGTGGGTGATCTGGGAGGGAAGGGGGGTAGGCCTCTTGGGGTTCCTGATGACACCTGAATGGAATAAAAAAAAAAAGGAAAGAACTTAGGAAACGGAACTCACGTCTTACCATTTGTGCTGTTTGTTTACTTTTTATTTTGATTTTTTTGCATTTCCGCTTAGCTTGGATAATGAAACTACACTGGTCAGTTTCATTCCAGTTTCGATAAAAATCAGTTTTCCTTCCTGGTTTTCTTACACTTGTTGTTGTGTATTGGTTCAGGGCCCTGCAGGGAGTGTTGGAAAAGCAGGCGCACTCCGTAACTCTTTTTCTTTTTCTTTTTCTTTTTTTTTTTTCTTCTGGAATTCAGTGCCAAAAGAAACCGTGTCACTGATACTGAATTTTGTTTGTTTGGTTTTTTTTGAAAAAGAAAAAAAGAGAGACAACTTAAGGGGATTTGAAAATGGGGAGGGGGCCAAATCCAGGTGATTGTCTCTATCTGGGCTAGACAGGGGCCTCCACACTTCCTCTTGCTGCTTTCTCCTCTTCTCTCCGTGTGTTTGTTGAGCACGGTTGGTGCGTGACTCTTGGGGACTGGTTCAGGGGATGATGACAGAACAAGACTCTCTTTCCAGCCCTGTGCACATACCAGTGGCATGCTTTCCTCTTCCATCAGCCCATCCCCCATCCCTCTGCTTCCCCAGCCACTCATGTTCAGGCAACTCCCCCATCCCACCCCATCTGCTTGCTCATCCTCGCCCCATCTCCACCTGCCCTTCATGAACTCCAAGACCCTCACTCCCTCTGGTGCCTGGGGCACACCTTCATTCTTCATCCTTCCTCCTCCAGGTGAGGGCAGCACACATGGCATTATCCCCAGGCTACCAAAAGGAGAAACTGAGGCCCAGGAGGCAGGTGGGAAAAGGGGACAACAGAGGTCCTGACCTATCTGTTCCCCCAGATGTAGCCCATGGGCTCTCCTCAATGTCCCGCTCTTACCCCTGCTCTTCTCCAGCCCCAGGTACAGACCTGCCCAGAGTCACAGCTGATGACTTCCGGAAGGGCTGGGAAGGACTGCTACCTACCGCTCCTTCTGTCCCTGATGGCCCTGAACATCAGAGGGTTGGTCCCTATCTGAGTGGGAACTGACAGCCACCAGCCAGCCACACCTAGTGCTCCATCTCATTGATAGGTGGATGCTTTCTGGACCCTGCTCCCCTAGTCTTGGAAGCAGGTTAACTAGGCTGTAAGCCCAGCCCCACACCCAGAGCCTCCGCTAGGGAAGCCCCCACCTCAACAAGCAAGGTCAAGGAAAGGAACAGGAGTGTCTGAGAGCCCCTGAAGACACTGGTGCCACCCCCCTCCCCAAGAACAGATGAGCTATCAGTCTTCCTCATCCCTTACTACACCCCTCCCCCAGGACTTCACTTTGTTGGGGTATGGGCACACCCTCAAAGACAGGCACAAGGCTAGCACCAGAAGGTCACACCATTCCAGGGGGCACATTCACGTTGTAGACCATGCCGGAGTTGTGTGGCCCAGTGGCCATGACAGATCTTAGCAATCAGAGTATAGGCAGGGTGTGGGACCAGGCATGCAGGGAGGTATTTAGCTGTTACTGGTCTGCAAAAGTTACGGCACAGCAGCCCTGCTTGTCAGTAATGGGAAGGAATAAATTCCCCTTCTGTCCCTTCCTGCCCCTGCATTCTCCCCATTCTCTCACATGCACACACACACACACACACACACACACACACACACACACACGTGCACGCACCCACAATGGCATATATATACACATACACTGGTTTCCCTGACTCTAAGAGCACTCTCAGACTTTGGACACAGACAAATCAATTTCTTTCTTGTTCCTTCGTGAAGTCCAAGAGTCCTTTTTGGCAACTTCATGGGTCTTTATCCTCCAAAGGTACTTCTGTTTAAAAACTCACTTTGCCCTCTCTAGAACCCTTGCCCTAGATCAGTGTCCTTGAACTGAGGAAGAACTGAGCCTGGCTGAAACTCTTGGGCAGCCTCCATCTTTCTGGGCTGAAAGGATTAGGGACAAGATCCAGGGATCTGCAAAGGATGTGAATGGGGATTTACTCCTCCAGGTCTCCCTGTGCAACAGGATAAGCACACACCACCCTACCCAGACCCACCACTTTCCAGCCATCTGTGCCCACCCCTGGCCTGGCTCATCTAAATGCATATCCCACCACCTAAGTGACAACGTCCTCCTCAGAGATGCCATCTGAGCTACAGAAACTCTAGGTCTCTGCCCACACACACACTCCTGTTCCCCACTTCTCTAGATGTGAGGCTGTAGGCTTCTCATGAGAATCTATTACAGCCAATTGTCACTGCCCACTCTAAGCCCAAGGAGCTGATGGATTGACTATTGGATATAAGAAGTAGTGTATGCTTGCTTAAGCTTTTGAGGAAGTTTAAGTTTGAGTTGAGCCATAGCCTGTTTTGAGGGCATTGTGATGATGGGTTTACCTGACTTCCTAAGGATGAGCAGACCAAGGCAACATAAACCAGTCTCTGAATAGGGAAACACAGGGAAGGGTCCAGCCTAGTCCATAAGCTTAAATAACCAACTTCAGCCAGGGGGAGGGAATTCTGAAGAGAGTACAAGGCTGGACATGTCCAGAAATCTGAAAGACAGACTTGTTGGAAGGGAGCTGTGGCAGCCTGAGAACAGAAGGAGCTGTACCGTGGGGGTAGGGGCAAGGTCAGGGAGAAGGGAGTGGGTGTTACCCAAGAGCTTCAGGGAAGGCAAGATGGAAGAATAGATGCAGGGCAGAGCCAGGCTGCCATGGAAGAGCAGGTCATGGAGAAAAGGCAGGCATGCCAAGGCTGGCTACCAGCATGCCTTTGGTGAAGAACAGGCTTCAGGGAGGGCACCCTAGTGAGTCTGCTCCAACCTCCTCCCGTTCCTGGCATCAGGAAGGCAGCTTTGAGACGCTGGCAATTCCACCTCCTCTCCAGCTCCCCTTGTCTTACTAAGATTTTCCAACCTCTGTGGCTCTAGGTAGCTTCTCCCAAAGTGTGTTCTACAAAAAGAACGTCTTCCATGGTCAAATAAGTTTGGAGCATACTAGAACTTTCTGCTACTTCTTTCTAAAACTTTTCCTAACCCTTCCTATGCTAAAGTAGACTGTAGCTTTATAAGAACACTGGGAAAGGATTCTCTAAACTTATTTGGCCACAGAACCTTCTTTAAGAGAACAGATTCAACACCTCTTAGGTCACTTTTGTCATGGATACCCAGTGGTGGGAACAGCTTAGCAGAGCTCTGTGCTCTGAGCTTTCTGGGGACTACTCCATGGAGGAGAAAAACCTGCCCAGGGCCGGAGAGAATCCTTCAGGGCCCAGGAGCGGTTCCCAAGAACTTGGGAACCCTTAGGACTGACTGCCAAGGGGCTACAGCGTGGCTTCACAGGGCACCAGGCAAGTAAGAAGGAAAGCTCCACAACCAGCAGGACAACTAGGCAATAACCTCTCACCCTCCCCACCCCCACTTCCCTAAATCATCCTCCTCCCCACCCTAACCCACCTGCCCACCACCCACGGAGCCACATCTGTTAGAGAGATTTGGAAGGAGATTTCAGAGCCCTCCACCCAGCCCCAACTCCAGCCCCTTCAGCTACAAGTGTGACCGCCCCCCCCCAAGTGCCTGACTTGGTTTTTCTCATTCATCACAGTGCACTTTGATTTCTAACCTTAGCCTCGCGGATGATGCCAGTTTGTTCTGTGATTTTTCCCCTTTTCCTTCTCCAGATGTCCAAACGGATTCTTCGGACAGAGATGTTTGGAGAAACTGCCTTTGCGATTGTACATGCCAGATCCTAAGCAAAGTATGTTTGAAGATACAAACACAAGTCCCCGCTCCTTAGAAAGCTTCTGGGTGCAGTCCCCCCCATCCCAATGTAGGGCATAGGACCAGGGGTGTTGGTTGTTTTGATCTTTGGCTGTTTTGTTTTGTTTCTCTTTTCTTTTTTTGTATTTTGGTTTGTTAGTTCTTTTTTGTTTTGTTTTGTTTTGCTTTGTTATTCATTTTTTGGCCTAATCCTTGGGTTTAAAGTTCAGGGCTACAGGTAAGGGGCAGAATGGCAAGGCCAGTACAAATGGTAACGGTGGCAAGGAACCCAGCTGGCATTGGCAGGAGCCTATGCTGGGGTGTTGCAATACCTGTGTCTTGCTATCCTGGCTCTCTCTTTCTGGTTTTCTTTCTTTTGGTAGGTGTCCTGTGGGATACACCGGGGACAGGTGTCAGCAGTTCGCAATGGTCAACTTCTCCAGTATGTCTCTTTCTTCTATTTCTTCTCTTCCCTGATGACTGGCAGTCTCCCCCTGTGGGAGGGATGGGGCCAAGATTGGGGTTGGGAAGGGGAGCAGGAATGCCCTGAGCTCCTCTTAGTTTTCATGCTCACCAGAAGCCTGTGCAGAGGAGAAGGATACATCCCTTGCCCCCTAACATGTCAGGCTATACTGCCTGGGTACAGCAATGCTGGATTCTCTCTGCAGCAGACCACACCCAGGCCTCTTCCCCCTCCAGGCATCCTGGCACAAATGGGAAGAGGCAACTGCAGAGCCTTCTCCTGCCTGACAGCTGCTTGAGAGTGTCAAACTGCTGGCAGGCCCAGCAATGAGTGTGTGCTGGTGTATGCTGATGTGTTTGTGAGAGAGAAAACGGTCTCAAAAGCCTGACCAGAATGTGTTTGGCTTGGGGTTCAGGGACTGGGTGGGAGGAGTAGAGGTTGAGGAAGATCAGGACCCAGGGCAACAGTTTCTGTAGCTGCAAAGGCATTTGGTGACTTCAGGATGGAGATAGGCTAGGGGCTACTACAGATGCTAAAAGATAGAGGGGATAAAGAATGCATACAGTGATTGGTGACTCCCCAGGACCAATCTATTCTGAATTCCCAACCAAGATTTCATCCTCTTCCTTTCTTCAACTTCTGAAGTCAGAGCTTTGTCTTTACACTACAACTCCACTGTGTCTGAAGGAATTGGGGGGGGGGGGAGGGGGGAGGAATAGAGCTCTGTATCCAAGAATGCATTTACAACCTGGAGCAGTTCCTTCAAGCACCACCAGGTGGAGGTGGAGCAGAGCAAAAAAGCCACTGGCTGGCCAGCTTGGACTGCTCTTTTGCCTATGATGCCCAAACCACATTAGTCATCCCATTCTACAAAGCAGACTAGGCCCTATCACCCCACCCCCACCCCATTCTCCTCTCAAGGAAGGCCAGCTGAGTCCTATAAGGTATTAGGAAACAAAACTTTCAGATGGTACCTAAAGGTTGGGAAATAGAACTCTAAGATGCCAAAGGTGGGACCCAGGGAGCCATGTAGATAGCTCATAGAAAAAAAAGGAGTTTTGGAGTTTGAGTCTCAGTATAGTGAAAGGGCTTTCTCCATTATCCTCAGACCACAACGAAAAAGCCCAGAAATCTAGCCTAAACCAGCAGGAGTGTAGGTGCCACAGCTTGTGGAGACTAGTAGGTCCAGTTGTTCAACCATCTTCACAATATGGGAGACAGTGTTCTCTCCAGGCCCACCCAGGAAGACCAGGGAAGAAGGCTGTGGGGATAAGAAATTTAAAGTCAGATACAGCCTAGGTAGGAAACTCTAGGGATGGAGGCAGACCAGGCAGGCAGAGTGGGAGCCAGGTAAGAGAGACAGTGGGGTCATATTCCTTTCTACCCTTTGGCAGAAAGCCTTCCTGGCTTGGGGAACTGTTCTGGATAGATAGTCCAGGCCATCCTGAATCAAAACAGTAAAGCTCTGGGACTCAGGCTGATATCCAAGGCCTCTTGGCTAGCTGTGCTGTTTCAGCTTTCAATTCATTTATATTTAGAGGGTCAGCAGGAAGCTAGAAACCCAAAAAAGAGCCTACAAATGTAGCCCTGGGCCTGCCCACCTGTGTCATTGGTGTCATTACTGTTACCTTTCTGTAAAGGACTTGGGCTCTCCAATGCTTTTCAAGAAAGCCCTTCATGTGCTGCTCCAGCAGACAGTGACCACAAAGACAGTTGACTATGCTCACAAACCTTCAATTGCCCATGCCAACAGACCAGGGTATAAAAGACAGCTCTGGGGCCTCATCTAACCCATCTGAGTTTGTTTTCTCATTTGCAAAGTAGGGATGAAGACATTGAGGCTTGTAGGGTTTGCTGTGCAGATGGAAGAAGATGTATGAAGGGTTCATCACAGAGCCTGCCATTTTCATTGGAGGAAAATTTAGTATTTCATCCCAGCTATAGCTGGCATGAAGAAGGAATTCCTGAGTTAAAGAATCTGACCCTAGTAGCATGCCCAGACTACCTTAAAACCAGGTTACCTTTTGGAGAGACCAAGGAAACAGAGCCTGTGGTCTACAGAAGCTTCTCCTACTTCCACTGACAGCCCCTACCCTCCCAACAGTCAAGGTTTATCCTCCTGTATTCATGAGTACCCACACACACATATGCATGAACACATAAACACATGCTGCAAACCTGAACAAACACATAAGCATCTACTAACACCAGCACCACAGACATGTAAACACAGGAGCAGTGCTTATACACATGCACACTCACAAACACACATTGACACACAGAAGCAAACACACAAGCATTCACTCACACTTGCACACACAAGACGAGCGTGTGCTTATTTCCATGCACACATCACTGCCGCCTGGTCCAGGCACCCTATAACTGCATCATAGGATGTGTCCAGGGTGAAGAATTTACAAATTGCCTGAGAAGCCTAGCCCTGTTGGGTGTCCAGCATTCAGTTGCCATGGTTACTAGACAATATGCAAATGTCTGGCCAATAGGATTTTCCTGTGGCTCAGGAGTGCTGCCTCATCCTGGCTGAGAAGCAAGCAATAAACCTAAGTGAAAGATTTGTTTTCTTTCCTGGGACTGATGCAGCCATAGGTCCCTCAGAATCTGTCTACATGCTTCCCAGGGAGAAGAGTGCCTATCTAGTCATTAGCCAGGCCCTCAGTGACCTCACCAGCCATGTTATGGATCCACCACTGGACCACCCTAAACAGTACTAACTTTTGACTCAAAATGCATGCCATCAAGAGCCCTGTAAGCTGCTGCTGCTGCTACAATTTAGTCTCTAGTAGAGTGACACAAAAGAAAACTCTTAAATAGCTTTGTGGAGGAGGGGGCAAGACATGCTTATATTAAGATGTAATTGTCAGGAATAGCCATGTCTTAGCCCCAAATGACCAGAGACCCAGCCTTCCCAGTTTCCCTTCTGATTCTCAAAGTGACCTTGAGAAAGCGTCCTAGCACCACTGAGCCCCAGCTGTCTCACATAATATAACAACCAGCTCTTAGTTTCCAAGGTGCTGAGGCCAAGCTGGTCTGTTCTCCCTAGGGGAGCATGGCTGGACATCCAGACAATGGGAGTGCTCTCCAGCTGCCTAAAGTGTCCCTGGGCTCCAGGACTAACTATTCAATGTGCTGCCCTGAAACCCTTTGATTCCACTTTGTACCTCTACTCAGCATGGCTGGCCAGCCCTGGAAGGACCTGGAGAGGAGTGGACAGGCTGTACTTGTGGCAACTTTTCTTCTACTTCCAAACAGAGCAAAATCTCAAAGAAGCCAAAAATCTGAAGGTCATCCCCTGGCCTCAGGTTAGCAGGAGAATACAAAGGACTCATGCTTGAAAGGCTGGGATCAGTGCTTTGTTGGTATGATCTCCACACAGAATTGAGGGGCCCAAGCCCTAGGACTTTCTTCATGGCTCTTTGTGTCAGAGCCATCTTGATCCCTAGCTCAGAGCCACCCTGTTTTCCTGCTTTTTTTTTTCTCCAAATGCAGAACCCTCTGGAACCCTTTTTAGGACACAGAGGGCTCCAGGGAGGGATAATGCTCAGGACTCCCTGCTGGTTGCTCATGCTGCTTACCTCTGCAGCAGATGGGAACATCACGTGCTATTTCATGGGTCTCAGAAGTTGACCCTGCTGATGTGAAAGTCAGGGAAGGAGGGAGCCTGGGCCACAGAAGAGGAGCTCCCACATGCCATGTGTGCAATGAGCCTCCTGCTGGCCAGCTCTGCTCATATCTGCCTCTGACTGTGCAGAGGTGCTTTTGACAGATGAGGACACTGAGACCATGATTTACCTACATCCATGCAGCAAGTTAGGGACAAAAAAAAATGAGAATGAGGCCTGTATACCAGTGCTGGCTACAACTTAGAATGAGAAGTGAGCTTTTTAAAAAAAAATGCTATTGAAATTTCTGGGCTCCCACCCAAGCCTGATTGCATTAGTCTGAATGATTTTCTAAAGCTCAGCCAGGTTTGCAAACCTCCAGGATCCCCCCTAGCCAGGCCTGATCCCCGCTTAACAGCTAGGAGACTGAGATCTGGATAGGCTAAGCATCATTGGTAGAGCTGACCCTTGGGCCAGGACCCTTTATCTAATCTCCCAATGGTGTGAATGGCCATCTCACAGGACTCTAAATCACACATTCCTATCAGGACCTCACATCCAAGACTGCAATTTGTTCACCATGCAAGGAGTTCGCTCTCGCACATGTGAACCCAACCTCCTCATTCTCACAGTTACAGTTGCTCCACTAAGTAGAGATCAGGAGGGCACTTGCACCCCTCCAATACGGGGTATGAGGGAGTATCAAGGGGAGGATTGACTATGCTTGGAGCCTCCTACTCCTGGTCCCCCAGACTAGGTACCTAGGAGATGGGTAAGCTAGGGACGTGGGTCCAGTCTGGGGACCAGAGGCCTGTGTGGAACAGAAGAAAGTTTTCCTATGTAGGAGTCAGAAGGTGGGCAGGCTGTCTCCAGGAGGGCTTGAGAGTGCTGAACGATGGGCACTGGGAAGGGGACGGGGGACTTCTTGAAGTCCGCCCTCCTTGCCCTTTTCTCCCAGGGAGCATTTGCCAACTGACTCTTGTGCCTGTGCCTCCCCAACCAGGTACTAACCCCACTGCTTCCCCCTAAGAACCTGCCCTGCCTACCAATTCTAACTGCCTCTCTCTAGCCCTCTTGGGGTTCTTGGGGACTGGCACCAGGGGAAAGGCTCAGGAAGCTGGGAGGTTCACTACTAACCCGCATTCACCTCGCAGGCTGGCTGCCCGGTGTCTGAAGAGTTCTAACCAACTTTTTTCTCTCTCTTTCCCCCACCCTCTCCCTCTTCCATCTCTCTCTCTCTCTCTACTCTTTCCCTCGGCTCCTGCCCCTCACCCTCTCTTCTGCACTGCCAGAGCACCTTGGATTTGAATTAAAGGGTACGGAACCTCTATGTATTTCTCTGTACCATCTCCACAGCATCTGACACCAGAGTGCTGAATGTTTGGTTTCCTTTCCAAAAAATAGAAACAGGATGATTCCAGAAATCTCCTCTGGCCCTGTCAAGATGTCTTAACATAAACTATGTTGATTTGGGGACAGAATCAAAGCTCATGAACAGTAGGGACCTGGTGCATGGTGTGTGAGGTGAAGACCTATGGCTAAGAGGTCTCAGAGGGGAGGGGCCCTCCAGAGCTGTGCAGACAAGTGCACAGGCCAGACAAAAGACATGCTCCCTCAAACCCAGTGGCTGGAAATCACACAAGCCTGGCTTGGGGAGCTGTGCAGAGAGCCAGCCCTTTCCATCTGACTCCTGCCTTTCCTTTCATCCGTTTCCATTGCTTTTTCATTCTGCACCAGGATAGTAGCTGAAAACTTCCTCTTTGCTTCTGTCCCTGCCCTGTATGTCTCCACGGCTTGCTTAAAACTGTCACTCCCTCCAAGATCTGTCCCCAAGATGAAGTGTGTGTGTGTGTGTGTGTGTGTGTGTGTGTGTGTGTGTGT